CCGCCTCACGCAGCCCCTTCCCTGTAAAAAAGCCGGAGCGCCTTTCTCCAATCACCTTCTCAGAGTTTATACAACCCCCAGAGCACAGGTTGATTGGAAAGGTTTCTCTTCTGGATAACAACAATTCAATGTGCCTTGACATTTTAATAGCCTGCCGTCCTGGTGAACACAATCGAGCAAGGCAGTGAAGCAAAAATCATTAGGTAAGCAAGATAATCTAAGCGGAATCTGTCTCCTGCACTCACACCTGGGGCAGGACGCACAGCTGGGGCAGTTCACGAAGCTGGGTCCGTGGCCTCTGCAGCGCCTTGGTATGTGTGGACCCATGTATACACCCCTGTGCCTGAGATAAACACACTCCAGCAAGGACGGACCCAGTGAGGCCCCGATATGAAATAGCTTGAGAGTAGCTGAATTTACAGTGAAACAGAATACCTGTCACACGTACCAAACCAGCACCAAACACCTGCTCGCAGTGCAGGCTTGCTGCATCACAGGCAACAAGGCAAATGTTTGCTGGGGCCCCTAAGGCCAACCCTACAACGGCTTTGGTACATCTACATGTTTATTTACATAAAGATTTTTAACAAAATGCCATGGCTAAAGCTATAATGTGAATATAAATGCATAAGATAAAAGTTGTACTTACTGAATACCAGGAGCCCTGGTGGTGTAATGGTTAAGTGCTACAGCTGCTAAGCAAAAGGTCAGCAGTTTTGAATCCACCAGAGCTCCTTGGAAACCCTTCGGGGCAGTTCTACTCTGTCGTCTAGGGTCGCTGAGTTGGAATTGACTTGACGATGGGTTTGTTTGTTTTTTGTTTTTTCTCGTATACCAATACCATTGTAAACGCTCACATTCCCTAACTCCTGCAGTCCTCAAAACACAGGCATTGTTGTTTACCCTCCTCTTACAGATGAGGTAACTGAGACCCAGAGTTTTAAGGAACTTGCCCTTAAGTAAGTGGTGGGACGGAATTTGGACCCAAGTAAGTCGTATAAATGAACGCCAGATGTGTTACATGTCTTTATAAGGTCAGTGCATTCTTTTACCAACGTGTGCATTCACACACAATACACACCTATTTATGCGAACACTCAGAAGGTGGCCTGCAAAGCTGCACAGCTGATTTTAACACAAACGCCTGCACTTCAGCGTTCAGCCATATCCATAGACTGAGTGTCTGGCGCGTCCGAAGGCCATGTTCTAGGGTACTGAGGATGCGAAGATTAATGGGACACAAGTGCCATCCTCCAGGAGCTCACAGCCCACTGGGAAGTCAAACAGGCAAAACCCTGTGGGTGAGGGGTTAGAGGCTGACACAGAGCTGCAAAGGCCTGGAAGACACCCCTGCCCGCACACCTGCCAGACATACTCCCCTCCCAGTCTTCTTGGGAAGCCACACACTTATCCCATGAGGTGTCATCCCTCAAAACACATTGCGGGGGCTCCACTGGGGAGTTGCCTTCAAAAACATTTTGTAAGCTGCCCCAGGAGCTGAGTCTTGTTATTGATAATTACGCATAACACACTCACACCCCTTCCTGAGCAAGGAGGCAGGAGTGACATCATAGAACCCAGGGGCCAACAGATGACAGAAAAGTCTCCTGTTGGATTCCAGCGCTCCCCAGCCACTCAGTGCCCCTCCCTCTCTCCCTGAACGCGAGATCCATTTCCCTGGGTGCTGACTTGGCAAGCAAGCTGCTCACTTTATGAATATGACCCTCAGAGGGGAGAGCCCCTCTCAGCAGCCCCCGAACTATGTTATCACCATTATTAAGGAGCTTAAAGAGGAGCTGGGAGGACGAGACACCACTGGAATTGCAGCCTGATAGTGATTGATGTGTTCCTATTAGCGCACAGTGTTATCGCTCTGGATGGCAAGAACAGCCAGTGGCTTGTAACACAACAGATTACCTGAGTCCTCAGCCTTAGAAGGATGTTTAAATAAAATATAGTCCCTTTTAGCAAGACGCTCATTTTCTCCACGAGGCTCCCAGACTATTTCATGTCAGCTCTGATTCGCTGCGACTCTCCTCGGTAAACATGTCTTATCATTAATAATTCTTTACAAGCACACTCTCCCGGAATCCTCTCTCTCTCTCTTTCTCGAGGCGGCTGGGCGCAGACACATCACGCTGCAGTTTGGGTTCCAAGGTGCTTGTCCCCGATTTTCACCTGCCTTGCCAAAAATGATTGATTACGCCGGGCCGACCGGGTGTCCGGCAATACCCAACAAATGACTTTGGCCCCTAACAGCAGGCCTTGGCCAGATAGAAATCAATATTTCACCATTAAAATCTATCAAAGAAGAGTTAAGGCACCATCTGTCCCCGCCGTCTCTCTATGGTGTGTGAACATTAAATCCGACACTTGTGCTCCATGGGTAATCAATATATAGTGGCTCACAGATCATTTGTGGTTCCCTTTTAGCAGTGATGGATGTCTGGAATCGTTGTGATTCATTTTGTCAGACCATTAAACAAGATTCTGTCCAGTTCCTTCCTGATTTCATTTAGAGGATCATTCTTCACAGTTCGTAAGAGGGAAAAGGTTTTACCAATCTGCTTCTATTTCAATAAGTCACTTTATAGAGATTGTGTGTCCTCCAGACTGTAGAAATTCCGGAGAGAGAGGACAAACAGACCTCTAGAACTACTCACTGCGTGACATATGCATAAAGTGTGAAGAGAGCAATGTAAATATGTTTACCTCTTTATCTGCAAATGTTGCTTTTAACCCCCTCCTGGCTGGGGAGCTGGCGTGCAGGCGCTTCAGGAGCCATGGCTGCCCCAGCAGGAGAGAAGGAAGGAGGTTGGTGGCCGGGGGCTCGTTTACAGGGGCAGCAGAAATCCCCAAAACCCTTCTGCCATGGTTAAAAGCAAAAAGGAACGGCTTTTCCAGAGGTCACATTTCAGGGACTTTCATCCACAGTCAAGCTGATCTCGCCCCTCATGCAGATGATCATCAAATGCCTTTTTGTACTTCCGTTCAGCGGGCCAACGCAAGAGAAGAGACACTGACCGTGACCTTGAGGGCAGGGATGTGAAGGAACATGAAAGGCCATGTTTGGGGTGCCAACCTGTGCCAGGCAGAGTGCAACTCTCAGCCTCACCAATCCTGTGAGGTCGCCACTTAGCCCTGATTTCCAGCGAGCAAACTGAGGCTCAGAGAAGTTAAGTAACCTCCCTGAGAGGATGCGAGAGTCAGAACCCTAAGCCAGGTTTGTCTGACAACAGAGCTCCCACAAACTTGTGGCTGTCGTTGGCTAACGGCCATTATTCTGATGATGATTTTGTAAATTTCCTTCAACACTCCTGGGCTGCTTACTTTGACCAACTAATCAGGATGCTGTAAGAAAATAGAATTTTATTTTATCATTTGAAGGAAATCTGCAGCGGGATCACTAAACAATGTGCTCCAAATCGACTTTAAACTGTTTTCTGTTTTTGAGTTATTGGACAAGTGCTGTTCCTGATGTTAATGTAGATAAGCAGAAGTTGATTTAAGTATTAACGTAAGTATATTTAAATATGTATGTAATTTATGTATAATTTTTATATACTATATGGAGTCCCTGGGTGGTGCAAATAGTTAATGCGCTCTGCTACTAACCAAAAGGTTGGAAGTTCAGGCCCACCTAGAGGTGCCTCAGAAGAAAGCCCTGGCAATCTACTTCTGAAAAATTAGCCATTGAAAACCTCATGGAGCACAGTTCTATTCTGATAGATATGAAGTCACCATGTGTGAACTGACTCAACGGCAACTGCATATATATATATTATATATATATATATATATAGCAAATATGTATAATTTGAAAGACCTTAGAGGTGATTTCACTTTTTCTTTTTCCCCTTCCTTTTATAAATAAAGCAACTAAGGCTCAGAGAGAATAAAAACGGGCCCAGGAACAAGAATCTTGTTTCCTGACTTCTAAGTCGAAATACCTTACCAAGAAGTTACAGGTAGTAGAGGGTCACTCAATCACCATTTTGGGGGTGATATATGAGGAGTCTTGGGGCGCAGCAGTGAAGAGCTCGGCTGCTAACCAAAAGGACAGCCGTTGGAATCCACCAGCCATGCCTTGGAAACCCTATGGGGCAGTTCTACGCTATCCTGTAGGGTTGCTATGAGTTGGAATTGACTCAATGGCAAGGAGTTTTGTGGTTGTTGTTGTTGCTGAAGGGATAAGTGGGAGAGAGTTGTACCCATTTTGCAGCTGGGCAGAAGGGGAACAGCTCCATGCATGTTTACTTCTCCATTTCACTAACCACCATACCCTCCTGCCGTGAGGTGAGCATTCCTTAAAATCATGGGAGAAAGTAAGGCAGGTCATGCCACTTCAAACACAAGGGCCATGTGGCAAGAGCTGTGTTGGACAGCAGGATAATACCAGGGAAGGGCTCATTTGGGAGGTGTAATGACAAAGCAGAAGAGCTTGGACTTCAGACAGTCTAGACAAAATCCCATCTGTGCTAACTAACTAGCTGTGTCACTCAGACAAGTCACTCAACCTCTCTGAGCATCTGTTTGCTCATCTGTAAAAGCAAAGCTAGTCACACCTACCTCACAGGTCTTCTGTGAAGATTAAATGAGACCACATAAACATCAGCACAGCTCAATGTGTGTTGGTATCCTTTTGTCCCTCTCTGCTTCCCTTCCTCCTCCTCAACATTATTCCACAATTTGTATTATACTTGATTTCTGGCTTCCAAGAAGAGCTTATAATGGGGTCTGCCACATAAGAATTTATCTAAGTCCTTCTTGATTCCAGAAACATAAAACCTAGGACTTAAAAAGAGAATTGAGAGGTCTTCTGGTCCAACCACTGCTCCAATGCAGGAATCACTTTCATCGCCTGGCTGACAGGTCATTTTCAATGACCAGGAGCTCCAGATGTCAAGAGAAAGTCTGCCTCCTAGCTGATCCGTCTTCTAATGATAAATTTCCTCCTAAACCTGCCTCCATGTAAATTTCATCCATTAGTTCCAGTAATAATTCCGATCCATAACCACCTCATGTTCCATGTAATTATTGAACAGAATGAAAAGAAATGTTCCTTTTAATTTGTGTTAAAACGACCTTCTTGAAGCATTTTCAAGAGATTTGAAACTGCACCCAAGTTTGCTTTATGCATGTCTCCCTGTGTTGGCTTTGATCACTCACCAGCACATATCCAATGTGGTGAAGAGTTTTCTGGGGTGTTTTCTTTATGAAACCCCCTTTGGTCCTTGCTAATCTGGCTTGTCTGTGTCTCTGCAGTTCCATTCTTGAGCATGAGATTCACAGCTGCACAGAGCCCTTCTGATTCAATTTTCTACTTTGGTTTCCCTCTATCTTTTTCTTTTCTCCTTGCTTCTTCATTCCTCTTATCCATTTCTCCTCTATCCACCTGTCCTTCCATCCACTTATCTTTCCATCTCAGCTATCCCAGGCAAAGCAGTAATGCCAGTATGCCGCTTGCCCCCTTACTAACGGAATGAAATGAAGGCCAACCCTGACAGCAATGACAGCCTCAGTAGCTGTTGAGTGAGCTGTTGTCCACCTCACCAGTGCTCCCAGATATAAGCATGAGCTCCACATGGGCAGGCTAACACCCACCCATGCCAGGAAGCCCAGGGCATACATTTGGTTTTCAATCGTTCCCACGATTCGCAATTGTATAGTGGACACCGCTAAGAAGGCCGCACTAGGCCCCCATGGTTTGTCGGGTTATTCCAGTCTGAGAGGTCATCACACAGGCCACCAGCACTTTGCTTCACACAGTTGTCTAGTTATTTTTACTCATGTCTCACTGCAGTTAATCTCTTGGGCCCCACTCAGGTCCCACCCCTCCACCACCCCCACCACCACATACAATCTTACTTGGTTGTCTTAGTTTCTTAGTGCTGCTATAAAATAACACAAGGGGGTGTCCTTAGAGAACAGAAATTGATTTTCTCACAGTTTGTTGTTGTTAGGTGCCGTCAAGTCAGTTCCTGCTCATAGCGACCCTACGTACAACAGAACAAAACACTGCCTGGTCCTGCGCCATCCTCACAATCGTTGTGTTTGAGCCCATTGTTGCAGCCGCTGTGTCAATCTATCTCACTGAGGGTCTGCCTTTTTCACTGACCCTCTACTTTGCCAAGCATGATGTCCTCCAGGGACAGATCCCTCTTGATAACATGTCCAAAGTATGTGAGATGTAGTCTCACCACCCTTGCTTTTAAGGACCATTCTGGTTGTACTTCTTCCAAGATAGATTTGTTCATTCTTTTAGCAGTCCATGGTACATTCAATATTCTTCACCAACACCATAATTCAAACCCGTAGATTCTTTCTCGGTCCTCCTTATTCATTGTCCAGCTTTCAAATGCATATGAGGCGATTCAAAACACCATGGCTTGGGTCAGGTGCACCTTAGTTTTCAAGGTGACGTCTTTGCTTTTCAGCAATTTAAAGAGGTCTTTTGCAGCAGATTTGCCTAATGCAATGCATCTTTTGATTTCTTGACTGCTGTTTCCATGGATCTCACAGTTTAGGAGGCTAGAAATCTGAGTTCAGGGCACAGCTATAGGGGTGATAGATCTTTGAGATTCTGTCAGTTCTGAGGGTAGATCCTTGTCTCAGGATCTGTAGCCCCAGTGTTCCTGGGTTCCTCGGTGATTTTCACATGGCATCTACCTACCCCACCACCACCACCATTTATGCTTGCTTGCTTCTGTGTCTAATCTTCTCTTTTTTGTAACTCAGAAGTGAAGGTTTAGGGCACGCCTTACACTACTATGGTCTCATTAGTATAATAAAGAAAACCCTATTCCCAAATGACATTACATCCACAGGTATAGGGGTGTCTTAGGTTGGGTTCTCTAGAAAAACAAAACCAGTAAAGCACATAAATATATATACAGAGAGATTTATAGCAAGGAAATGGCTCACATGGTTGTAAAGGCTGGAATGTCCCAAGTCAATGGGTCAGGACAGAGGCTTCTCCTGATTTACATAGCCACAGGGGCTGGTGAACCCAAGATCAGCAGGTCAGAGAGCAGGGCTCTTGCTCCAGATTGTGAGAATTGACAAATCCCAAGATCGGCAGACAAGACTGCAGGTAAGCTGCTAGCTCAAGTCCCAAGAACCAGAGGTCAGATGAACAGGAGCCAGCTGCAGGATCCAAAGCAAGCAAAAGCCCATGAGCCTTGCCAGAATGTCCATTGATAATCGATGCAGGCTACCTGCCCAAGGAACCTCCCTTTCAACTAACTGGCTACTCACAGCAGATCTCATCATAGAGGTGATCACATTATATCAGATCTCATCATGGAAGTGATCACATGATCATACGACTGCCAAACGACCTCACAACTGCCAAACCACTGAGAGTCATGGTCCAGCCAAGTTGACACACAACCTTGACCATCACAAAGGGTTAGGATTCCAACACATATTTGAGGAACACAATTCAATTCATAATACTTGATATTTCCATCTGTTTTGCCCAAATCCATCAGAGGTATTCTATACACAGTTGA